GGGGCTGCTGGCTGGATCTGCACTGGGGCTGCCTGAGCTGGTAGCTGTCCAGTCTGTTGCATGGGGTCTGATGGCTGGATCTGCCCTGGGGTTGCCTGAGCTGGTTGCTGTCCAGCCTGTTGCATGGGGTGTGGTGGATCTGCAGTGGGGCTGCCTGAGCTGGTTGTTGTCCAGGCTGTTGCGTGGGGGCTGCTGGCTGCATTTGCACTGGGGCTGCCTGCTGCAGGAACCCTCCTGGAGCTTGTCCAATGGGGTTTGGTGTGGATCTGCAGTGGGGCTGCCTGAGCTGGTACCTGTCCAGGCTGTTGCAGGGGGTGTTGACCTGGTTGCTGGCCCTGAGGTGCTACTTGCTGATGTGGTACATGAAGCTCTGTGCTGGGCTTGAGGTGCTGGTAGCTGGCCCTGGTGTGCTCCTGCCTGTTGCTGCCACCACTGGTGGTGTTGAAGTTGAAGTTGCTGTCCCTGAAGTGCTGCTTGCTGCTGCACCTGGTGCACTTGCTGCCCACCACTTTGGAGGGGTGGCAGTTGAGGTGCTGCTGATGGTTGCTGATCATGCCCACCACTCTTGCTGCCAACTGCAACACAGAAGCCAAGGACAATTGAACACTCTTGGAAGGCTCAGATGATGGTAGGAAAGCATGGTGGTGGGTCTGCCCAAAGTCCAAGGTTGGTGCCTCCATTGTGCACAGTCAGAATTGGTGTCACATTGGCAAATGACATCACTAGTACTCTAATCACAACTGATTCATCATGCTGCAACACATGTCATCAAACTGTGGTGTAACACATGTCATTGCCTGTGATGAAGACATCAGTGACTCAGTGTCTGCTTGGGAGGCTGTTGATGCCATAGCTGGTGCTGATGGAGGCATTCCAGTGCTAGCAGCAGATCCCATGGATTTACCTGACCATGCAGGTGTGAATCACACTAAGTAAGTAGGTCATCATGTCCCACACATCATTGCCAAGGTTTCACATGCACCTGAATTAAGTTGAGGCTCCATCAGCAGTAGCTGCCTTGCTGGGAAGCTGCTTCAAATGGTTCTGCACTTGCCGGGCTTGCCAGTGGTGAGGTGGACAGCCTGGCCACACTGGCAAATGACCAACATCTTGACATGTGACAGCCACTGATAACCACATGTGTATTCAAAGAATGATTCCTGAACTGTAGTTGTTAAGGGCCACTACTTCAAGACTCTGGATCTCACTTGGGTTTTACACCCAAGTCACAGTTTTGGCAGAAGTTGATGTAGTCCTTGCTCCATTGGCTCTCCTGGTTCAGGACAGCTGTTTCAGCCTTAGTGGGCTAGGGCTCTGTCAGCCTCACATGAATTAATGCCTGATGCTAATGGCACTCAACTCACATGACTTAATTGCTGCTTCCAGCAGTTGTCCATACTTGGTCAAGGCACAACTCTTGCCCACCAATCCACTGTTGCAGAATCCTTGTTGAAGAGAGTATCCATTTTCATGGTGTACCTTGCCAGGATTCAGGTCCTTAGCCAAGCAAGTAAGCAAACACTGACCAACCTCATGCCACATCCCACTCATTCACAGCCACTGTGATTAAATTCACCTACTGAGTTACTGGTTCACATTGGTCACATGGTGGTGCTGCCATAATAATGCCAGGCCAAGCTGCTCATGAGTGCTGTGTGTTGCTGCCAGCATGAGGTAGTGATATCCACCCCTGTAGATCATGCTGATTGGTGCCCCCTTTGGGGCACCAACAAACTTGGCGCCATTGTCCCTGGAATGGGCAGTGAGCTCTCCATCTTTCCTTGGGTAAAGCAATCTGTCAACCACTGTCACACCTACCCCCTTGCAAACCAAAACTGTTTCCTATCCTATCCAAACCCATCAAGCTGGCCCAATGGGATATTAGCTAACACGATATTCGGTCTCTGTTTTGAAAGCCTCAAGGCCAAGTCCTCTTCATGAAACAAAATAAAACCAAGTAAAGCCAAAGGCACCCCATGACCAAACTGTATTGTGACTGCTGCCTCTTCTCCTTCCCATTTGCCTCCTCATCCCCTTCCATATCTGGCTCTGGCTGGTTCTCAGCAGCCCCCCTCACAACCAGGTAACAGTCAGCCAAATATAGCATACTATACTATACACAAGTATATAAGGTCATTAAAGACTTGACATGACATGACCACACACTTCTCACTGCCAGTTCACTCACTTGCTTTCAATAGTTAAAACCCATTGCATTGCAAGCAACAACAAATTGCAACAACCTGTAAGTGAGTTACATGAACTGCAGGATTGTTACCTACTTCTTGTTGGAGAGGTTCAAGTTAAATCCATTGCAACACCACACTTGCCAACAACTGCACTGTAAATGAACTGAACTGCAGGCTGGCTGCTTCTTCTTCTTGAAGAGGTTCTTCCAGCCCAGTCTAATGGCCACAGCTTCAATGTTCTTCAGGCCTGCCTGGGTGAAGTGAAAACTCCCCACTGGAGTTGTCAAGATTCTGAAGGGTTGGATAAGAACTCATCTATTGAAATGGTATGCCCATGCCACCAGGTGGTCAACACCATCACTTGATTATACCCACCTAAAACAAAGGAAAACTATCCACTGACCATTGGGCAGGATGCTATATCATGCTGTCAAGTAGCATCCAGCCCTTCTTCCTTATCACCTCTGGCCTTCATAGTTCTCTGCTGTGATTCCAGCAGCACATGCTTCCTTACTGTCAAAACTCTCAAATGTCTCAGCCACTCAACCTGTCAAACAAAATGAACTCAATGCTTCAATGGCTGAGTGGCCCTGTGAATGAGTTAAGGGGGCAAATGAATGAATGAGCCCTGAAACCTTTGACATGTCAATGTTTGCCCTCTCAAACTCATGGCATGGCATGGCATGGCATGTACATCAAATAATGCAAAGGTTCAACTCACCTCTAGCCCTCACCAAGAGGTCTTTGATGCTAGTTCTTGGCCCCAGTTTGGTCTGAATCCAAACCAGCTGGTCCAGCTCCTGGCCTGAAAGGCCACTGGTGATGCCTTGGATGAGTGAAGCCAGCTCCACTGTAGTTACTTTACTTACTTATGTTCATACAGATTGCCACTTCTCAGACTCAGGTCAAGCAGCACAGCACTTTCATGTCATTTGTCATTCATGACTATTTAACTAATCAATTAGTTACAATGATGCTGAGACACTTGTTCCAAACTTCTCTGCATCAATCAGCTTGAGAAAGCACACCTTATACTGGCAAGTACTCTGGGCCCAGGTGGGCCCAATGCCTGAGCTGGGGTAGAATGATTTTGATCTGATGATCAGGTAACTTATTCAGTGACAGTGTACTCAATTTACACTCTAGATTCAATTCTGAGGTTTGATATGATGTTGATACAATAGTATGTAACAA